CGATCCCCAACACCACATAAAAATAAATAAATAAAGATATTGTGTCCAACTACAACTAAAAAATAAATATTAAAAAAAGAAAGAAAAAGCTGAAAATAAAAGAGGTGGATGAAGACTTCCCCGGGCAACTGGAAACACTCAGCAGGAGTAGCAGTCCTGACAGTAAAGTAGGCTGTAAAGTCCCAAACAAGTCATAAACTGAAAAACTTGAGCTATAGAATAACTCTTAAAACTGGAAAAATATCTAACATTACTCATAACATAAGCACAAATTTAAAACTATACTGAGATGCTGTTTCTCATCCATCAGCCCCATCAGAGTTCCTCCAGATCTCATTGATCTTGGCCTGGACAGCTACTTCCATAATTCTATTTGGCAGAACTTCAGTTTTGTGTAAATTATTTATTGATTAATCCACAGACCATCTGGAGAGTCTTATCAATATCTCTTAGTTGAAGAACCAAGATTATAAAGTACTGTCTTTTCATAATTTCAATGTTTTACATGCATATATAAAACATATACATTATATATGTAATTATTTTATATAACATGAATTATATACTTGTATTACATATAAGATTATGTATCATATATATATATATATATATTATATCATATATGTGGATTTTGGATTTTTTTTCCTACTAGTTTTGAAATGACTTCAGCTACAGTTTATGGTTACAATTGAAGGTCAGCCTGGCCTGGGAGTGATGTGCCAGAGCACCATGTTTGAGAGTGAGGTTTCATTTCATTGGTGTCATTAGAAATGACTGTTGTATTAGGGTTAATTTCCCCTTAGCCAGTGACCTCTCTTTGGGCCAGGCAAAATGGAATGGTAGCTTATACATATAATCTGCCATGTGTACATATCTTCATAGAGCAGTCAGGTCTAATTGCTCCTAACAGGATAAGGGGCATAATGTCATACATACAGTTCTTATGACTGTTTTGTTCTCAATGGATATACTCCATGAGTTTTAGTTGCGTCTTCATACTTGGAGTGATGTGAAACAATTTGGATTTTCTGGCTAAGTGTTTTAAAGGTTGCAATAGAGCTACAATGTGCTTGACTGATTCTTGATCACTGAAGATGGCACAACACAGTAAAAGTAGAGATGATGTGTTCTCTGACCTTTGGAATAGTCAGATGCTGCTATGAACTGAGGATGTCCCCCCCCCCAAATTCATGCTGAAACCCTAGTTACCAATTGTATGTGAAGGTGGGATCTTGGGAGGTAATACAGGAGAAGAGACCTCACATTGGCATTAATGTCAATGTAAGATGAAAGACCAGAACCTTTCCTCCCCACCATGTGACTAAACAGTAAGAGGCAGCTGTCTGTGAACCAGGAAAAAAATCCAGTCATTGCTGGGGCCCTGAGCTTGCACTGCTGGCCTCTGGGACTGGAGAGGTAAATGTGTGTGGTTTAAGCACCCAGTCTATGGTCTTCTGTTGTAGCTGCCTTAAAACTGTGATAGACAGGGTTCTTCATAAAAAACTACGTACCTATGACATTAAACT